CCTCAGACCCAAGAGGCCTCAGAACCACACCGAATGCTTCTATGAGATAGTTTTCTCCACTTGCCCATGAAGAAATGAGCCCAGGCCCAGTCAGATCTGCATCTGTGTCACAGCCCAGAGCCACTGTAACTTTCGGCTACTGACCTCCCCCTCTGAGCCTCTGTTTTCTCCTCTGTCCATGGGGCAAGGGGTCTGCTCCTTCCCTCAAACACCAACCCAGGTAGGGTCAAGCACAGGAAATACTTGTGGCATGAATGTGATGAGAACACAGAATTGCAGAAGCCAAAGAAAGAGAAGTATAAGGGCCCTCCTTCCACCCCCTACCTCTCCCACCTGCTGCTTCACACACCAGGACCACCTGCTGGGTAGCCAGGAGCTCACAGCCAGGAGCCCCGCTGGCCACCCCTGCAGCCCCCTCCTTCATTCAGGCAGTTTCATGGCCTGGAACACTCCTCATCCTCTAGGATTTGACACTGGCTGTCAAACTCGTCCTTCAAAGTGATTCCTGACCTGCCCTCCTCCTCTAGGCAGCCTGTCCTGACCCTCAGCAGCCTCTCCTGGCCGTGGCAGAGCCCTTCGTGTCCTCCCTTGCACCACGCACGGGAAGAAAGGCCATCATCCTCGCCATTGCTAACACCGGCCTTGCGTTTCCTCTTTGCCAGGTACTGTATTGACAACTCTCTACAACCTCACTTCATCCTCCTAATAAGCTGGGCGCGGTGGCTCATGCCTGTCATCCCAGCACTTTGGGAGGTTGAAGCAGGATGATCACTTGAGAGGCGGAGGTTGCAGTGAACCGAGATTATGGCCCTGCACTCCAGCCTGGGCAATAGAGGGAGACTCTATCTCAAAAAAAAAAAGAAAAAAAAAAAAAAAAGAAAAGAAAAAGAAAAGAAAAAAGAAAGAAAGAAAAGAAAAAAAGAAAAAGAAAAAAATTCTTCCAACATTGTTATTCCCATTTTATAGTTGAAGGACTGAGGCACAGAGAGGTTAAGTAATTTACCCAGGGTCACACAGCTAGAAAAGAGCAGGATCCCAAGGTGGCAGCATAGGGTAGCATCAAAGGATGCAAAGGTCTAAACTGTATGGCATGGGTTCAACCGTCTCCTCCATGTATTTGTTGTGGGGCTGTGAATACATTACTTAGCTTGTTTGTGCCTTTGTTTCTTCATCTGTAAAATGGGGATAAGAGGACCCATTCCATAGGATATGGTGAGGATTATGCACACACACACACACACACGCACACACACATTTATGATGTACTGAGAAGAAGATATAAGCACACAATAAGTATCTCCAAAATTATGCAGTGGCAAAGCCAGGATTCAGACCCACACCTGCCCAAGGCTCTCTGCCGTCGGACCACACTATATCTCTTTCTCTCTGTTCCTTCATTCCCATCAATCTAAGGCAAAAAAACATGCCTTCTCTGATTTCCAGCCTCACTCAGCATAGACTGTGGAGGCAACATATCTTGAATGAAGCAATGAAGCAATAATGCACATGAATGCACCAAATGCCAAAAGCTCATTCACTCAACAAGTATCTCTCCAACACTTCCTGTGTGCTAGACCCAATTCCGTGTGCTGCAGACTAAGTCGGGGACTGACCACACAAAAATCTTTGCCCTTGTGAAGCCTGCATTTTTTTTTTTTTTGATGGAATCTTGCTCTGTCACCCAGGCTGGAGTGCAGTGGCATGATCATCTTGGCTCACTACAACCTCCACCTCCCAGGTTCAAGCGACTCTCTTGCCTTGGTCTCCCAAGAAGCTGGGATTACAGGTGTGCACCACCAACTCCGGCTAATTGTTTGTATTTTTAGTAGAAATTGGGTTTTATCATGTTGGTGACGTGGTGTGATCTCAGGTGACTGCAACGTCCACCTCCTGGGTTCAAGTGATTTTCTTGTCTCAGCCCCCCAAGAAGCTGGGATTACAGGTGTGCACCACCACCTCCGGCTAATTTTTGTATTTTTAGTAGAGACAGGGTTTCACTATGTTGGCCAGGTTGGTCTCGAACTCCCAACCTCGAGTGATCCACCCACCTCAGCCTCCCAAAGTGCTGGGATTACAGGCATATGCCACCGTGCCCGGCCTGTGAAGCTTGCATTCTAACAGAGGAGACACAGACAAAATGAACCAGGAACACAGTGGGTAAGAAGGTGAAAAGTGCTCCACACAAAAATAAAGTAGGGAGAGAGGAAAGAGACTAAAAAGAAGTTGGGTTGCCAGGCACGGTGGCTCATGCCTGTAATCTCAGCACTTTGGGAGGCCGAGACAGGCAGATCACAAGGTCACGACATGGAGACCATCCTGGTGAAACCCCGTCTCTGCTAAAAATACAAAATTAGCTGGGCGTGGTAGCGCGCACCTGTAGTCTCAGCTACTCAGGAGGCTGAGGCAGAAGAATGGCTTGAACCCAGGAGGCGGAGGTTGTGGTGAGCTGAGATCACACCACTGCACTACAGCGTGGCCAACAACAGCGAAACTCTGTCTCAAAAAAAAAAAGAAGTCGGGTAAGGGATGCCACCATTTGAAACAGGGTGGTCACCCAGTCCTGAGAAGGTGACATTCAGGCAAAGACCGAAGGAGGCAAGGAAGTGAGGCATGAGGGTATCTGGCAGAAGAGCATTCCAGGCAGAGAGAACAGCAAGTGCAAAGCCCCGAAGGCAGAACCGGGTCTCGGTGTTCCAAGAGCAGCAAGGAGGCCGGTGTGCTGACACACAGAAGGAAGAGATGAGATCAGAATCACATCCCGTAAGGCCTTGCAAGATGTCAGCTTTTATACACAGAGAAATGGGGAGCCATAGGAGATTCTAAACAGGAATGACATGAGCCGACTTCGGTTTCTACAGGATCCCTGAACGGAGACTGGGCTTCGCAGGGAGCGGGGAGACTAGTTAGAAGGCTACTGCAATGGTCCAGGTGAGAGGCAGCGGTGGCGGGAACCAGATGGGAATCACTGATCATGCAAAAGGCTAAGAATGGGCAGGTCCGTCCCGTGCCCTGCTCTCTGCTCTCTGCTCTCTGCAATCTGAGTGTTGGAGTCTGACAGTCTCATCATCCACTCACTGCATAGGTAATCTTGGGCAAGTAGTTTTTTGTTTTTTGGGGGGGGGGTTTTGTTTTGTTTTTTGAGACAGCGTCTCACTCTGTCGCCCAGGCTGGAGTGCAATGGCGTGATCTCCGCTCACTGCAACCTCCGCCTCCCAGGTTCAAGCGATTCTCCTGCCTCAGCCTCCTGAGTAGCTGGGACTACAGGCACACGCCACCACACCCGGCTAATTTTTGTATTTTTAGTAGAGACGAGGTTACACCATATTGGCCAGGCTGGTCTCGAACTCCTGACCTTGTAAGCTGCCCGCCTTGGCCTCCCAAAGTGCTGGGATTACAGGCGTGAGCCACCGTGCCCAGTCTGTTTTGTTTGTTTGTTTTTGAGACGGAGTCTTGCTCTGTCGCCCAGGCTGGAGTGCAGTGGCGAGATCTCAGCTCACTGCAAGCTCCGCCTCCTGGGTTCATTCCATTCTCCTGCCTCAGCCTCCCGAGTAGCTGGGACTACAGGTGCCTGTCACCTCACCCAGCTAATTTTTTTTTTGTATTTTTAGTAGAGACAAGGTTTCACCATGGTCTTGATCTCCTGACCTCATGATCTGCCCGCCTCCCAGTGCTGGGATTACAGGCGTGAGCTACCACGCTTGGCTCTGTTTTTTGAGGTGGACCTTGCTCTGTTGCCCAGGCTGGAGTGCAGTGGTGCGATTATCGGCTCACCGAAACCTCCGCCTCCCGGATTCAAGTGATTTTCCTGCCTCAGCCTCCTGAATAGCTGGGATTACAAGTGCCCGCCACCACGGCCAGCTAATTTTTGTGTTTTTAGTAGAGATGGGGTTTCGTCATGTTGGCTGGGCTGGTCTCGAACTCCTGACCTCAAGTGATCCGCCTGCCTCAGCCTCCCAAAGTGCTGAGATTACAGGCGTAAGCCACCGCGCCCAGCCTGTTTTTTTGTTTTTTTGAGATGGAGCCTGGCTTTGTTACCCAGGCTGGAGTGCAATGGTATAATATTGACTCATTGCAACCTCCGCCTCCCAGGTTCAAGTGGTTCTCCTGCCTCGGCCTCCTCACTAGCTGGAATTACAGGTGCCCACCACCATGGCTGGCTAATTTTTGTTTTTATCAGAGATGGGGTTTTGCCGTGTTGGCCGGGCCGGTCTCGAACTCCTGACCTCAGATGATCCACCCGCCTCGGCCTCCCAAAGTGCTGGGATTACAGCACCCACGCAAGTTTCTTAACTCTTCTCTGCCTCATTTTCTCATGTGTAAGACTAAGACAGCCTCCCACCGAGACACACTTCCCTCACGTGGCTCTGGGGAGAAATACTGTGGAAAGCTTTGCTAGTAACCTCTACGGCATGGAGGGAGTTCTCAAAAAGCGATTTTAGAAAGGTGTTTATGCCTGGGAAGCCTGTTCATTTTTGTGATATCCTTGGAGCTGGGCCAGGCACTTATCGAGCTAAATCTAACTTTTGTCAGAATGGCAGGGGGAAGTCATGGAGGAAAATTTCCAAAGGAAGGGGGAACGGGATGGGTAGGGGGGTGTTGAGGGCATAGGCAGAGGCAGTGACAACGGACAGGAGGTGTCCACAGAACGGGGACTGCCACTGGCCCTGGAGACAGAAGGTCAGCCCTGGGTTCAAATCCTCCCTTAGCCAAGTGCTGAAATGGACTAGTTGTTGAACCTCTCTAGCCTTCGGCTTCCTCATCTGTCAAGCAGAAATCAAACCTCGAACTTCCTCCCGTTGTTAGAATTTCAAGGGAGTTTTAAAGACAGAGCTTTCAACTCTGACCTGTGAACAAGTGTGACATCAAATTTACTGTTTGTTATTAGTCTGTTGTTACGAGGCAGAGAGTTAGTTTCCCGGCTCCCCTGCAGTCAGCCCCTCCTGGATCTGTCTGCCAGCCCCGCCCCTGGGTCACTCCAGCCAGGCTGTGCCAGGTGAACGCTCAGGTATGCGGAGGCGGAGGCAGGACAGCCCTGGGAGGGAGCAGGAGGAGGGGCCGGCAGCCTGGAACGGAAAGGACAGCGGAGAGCAGGGCAGAGCCTGAGCAGGCAGGTGAGGAGATCCGGGTTCAGAGAGAAGGAGGCCGGGATTTGACCAATGGGTCTGAGGGAGAAGGGGACTGGGGTCTGGACTCCTGGGCCTGAGGGAGGAGGGACTGGGGTCTGGACTCCTGGGTCTGAGGGAGGAGGGGCTGGGGGCCTGGACTCGTGGGTCTGAGGGAGGAGGGATTGGGGGCCTGGACTCCCGGGTCTGAGGGAGGAGGAGCTGGGGACCGGGGCTCCTGGGTCTGAGGGAGGAAGGGCTGGGGGCCTGGACTCCTGGGTCTGAGGGAGGAGGAGCTGGGGACCGGGGCTCCTGGGTCTGAGGGAGGAGGGGCCGGGGGCCTGGACTCCTGGGTCTGAGGGAGGAGGGGCTGGGGGCCTGGACTCCTGGGTCTGAGGGTGGAGGGGCTGGGGCCTGGACTCCTGGGTCTGAGGGAGGAGGGGCTGGGGGCCTGGACTCCTGGGTCTAGGGAGGAGGGACTGGGGCCTGGACTCCTGGGTCTGAGGGAGGAGGGACTGGGGGCCTGGACTCCTGGGTCTGAGGGAGGAGGGGCCGGGGCTTGGATGCCTGTGTTGAGGGAGGAGGCTGGGGTAGGAATTAGAGGCTCCTACTGGCCAGGCCCTCACATCTTTGCTGGCTCCCAGGGCACCTCCAGGTGGGCAGGAGCTCCCACTCAGCACCATGAGCACCGCCACCGGGTAAGTGCCCCTGGCCCCCAGGCCCCAGGCCCCAGCCCCTAGCCCCAGCCCCAGCACGCCTCCCGCCTCCCCTCGCCTCCTCACCCACACCCGCAGATCCTGTTTCTGGCAGCCCAGACTCTGGCCCTAGCCCGGACACTCAGGAGGAAGCCAGAGCCACTCTCCTCCCTGCCCAGCCTGGGGTTAGGGGCCCCCACTGTAGAGCAGACAGGCCTGTGCTCCAGCTCGGCCCTCACACTCCATGCTGATGTAACCCTGGTCAAAGGACATCACCTCTTGGAGCCTCAGCCCCTCCTCTGTGACACAGGGACAATTTTGAAACATTGGTGGGATAGTGCATTACAGGACTTAGCCGGCCACCTCACTGACAGCCGGTGCTCAGCTCATAGGAGCCTCTGTTGGGATTGTTATCTTGTTAGTAAATAGTAACCCTTTGCTAGAAAATCAGGACTGTTCATAATGAAGACTCAAGTCTCCTAGAGTAAGCAGGGAGAAAAACAATGAGCGATGAGTCAAAATACCTGCATGGTAGGTAGTGAGTTCTCTGGCCCAGAGGTAATCAAATTGGTGACATCAGACTGGCAGGAGCGGGATGAGGAACAGGAGTTTGGGAAAAAGGGTTTATCAGTTCCCCTGACGCCACCTGATCTCTGAGCTTCTGTTATGCGCATGGAAGTGGGGATCCAAGAATTCTTAGGAAAGGTAACCTTAGGAAGAAATCAAGGACAAGAGGAGACAGAGAGGGATGCGGCTGGGAAGCGCCTGGCCCATGGGGGTGGGAGGGGAAACAGATAATTCCCTGTCTACTTCAGATACTACTAATGCTATTGTAACAATCCCCATTTATTGAGCAACTTCTGTGTGCTAAGCCCTGGCAGCATCTTAAGAATGATAATAACAGTTATTGAGGCTTCAAAATACTTCACCTGCATCATCTGACTGAATTTGCCCAACAGCCCTACCAGATAGTTACTATGTTACAGAAAGAAACCGAGGCAGAGAGATTAAGTCCCCTTCTCAAGGTCTTATGGCAAGGAGGCAGTAGACAGAGGATTTGAATCCAGGACTATGCCATGGTTGAGACCACGCTCCCCCTACCACCCAGCACCACCGCCTGACCTGTCTTCTTTTTTTTCGAGATGGGGTCTTGCTGTTGCCAGGCTGGAGTGCAGTGGCGCGATCTCAGCTCACTGCAACCTCCGCCTCCCAGGTTCAAGTGATTCTCCTGCCTCAGCCTCCCACGTAGCTGGGACTACAGGCACCCGCCACCACACCCAGCTAATTTTTGTATTTTTAGTAGAGATGGGGTTTCACCATGTTGGCCAGGCTGGTCTCGATCTCTTTTTTTTTTTTTTTTTTTTTTTGAGACGGAGTCTCGCTCTGTGGCCCAGGCTGGAGTGCAAGTGGCCGGATCTCAGCTCACTGCAAGCTCCGCCTCCCGGGTTTGCGCCATTCTCCTGCCTCAGCCTCCCGAGTAGCTGGGACTACAGGCGCCCGCCACCTCGCCCGGCTAGTGTTTTTGTATTTTTTAGTAGAGACGGGGTTTCACCGTGTTAGCCAGGATGGTCTCGATCTCCTGACCTCGTGATCCGCCCGTCTCGGCCTCCCAAAGTGCTGGGATTACAGGCTTGAGCCACCGCGCCCGGCCTCGATCTCTTGACTTTGTGATCCGCCCATCTCTGCCTCCCGAAGTGCTAGGATTACAGGCGTGAGCTACCGCGTCCGGCCTACCTGTCTTCTTAAAGTCCAGCTCTGGCTCTGAGCTCTCCTGCTCAATAATAGTAAAAATAATAATAATAACCCTTCCATGGCTCCCCATTACCTTCATAATGAAGCCCTTGCTGCCCTGCTTGGCATTTCCGCAGGGTCCGCCCCCAATTCCACAGTCTCACTCATCCCTCTTTTCTTCACCAGCCCAGAAGCTGCCCCAAAGCCAAGTGCCAAGTCTATCTATGGTAAGTAGGAGGCAAGGGAGCCCCAGGCCCATAGAACTGGGTCTAAAGAAACAGGACCTGGAATCCAGGGTCTTGGAGGAGGAGAGGCTGGGCCTGGACTCCTGGGTCTGAAGGAGGAGGGCCTGGGGGCTCTGGACTCCTGGGTCTGAGGGAGGAGGAAGAGCTGAAGGTCTAGACTCCTGGGTCTGAGGAAGGTGGGGCTGGGGGCCTGGACTCCTGGGTCTGAAGGAGGAGGGCCTGGGGGCTCTGGACTCCTGGGTCTGAGGAAGGTGGGGCTGGGGGCTCTGGACTCCTGGGTCTGAGGGAGGAGGGGTTGAGGCTGGACTCCTGGGTCTGAGGGAGGAGGGGCTGAGGGCCTGGACTCCCAGGCTCATTTTCTTTCTCCCCTGGCAGAGCAGAGGAAGCGTTACTCCACAGTGGTTATGGCCGATGTATCCCAGTACCCAGTCAATGTGAGTCTGGGATCTATGTTCCCCAGGACATCTTCTAGGGCAAAGGTGGCCTCAGGAGATAGGGCTTTGGAAAGCAGCTGGGCCCCCAAGCAGGAAGCATGTGGAAAGTCAGTTTGCCCATCTGTAAAACGGACCTCCGTTGCCTCACCTCAGTCATGGATATGAAGTCAGGGACCTCGGGTCCACTCAAATCTGCCAGCCTTTTCTCCGGGCTAGCTGTTGTGCTGGACAGTGGGACCATGGGGACAAATCAAGACACAGCCCTGCATGAGGAGGGGGTAGACAAGGTCCAGAGGAACCCACGGAGGTGCCTGGTGCTCTAATGGAGGTGGCAGGGGGCACAGCGGGAGACCCGAGGAGGCATTTAGAAGGAGAGAGCTGTAATCCAGACTCCTTCCCTGCCCGCAAGGAGCCTCCAGTCTGTGAGAAGCCAGACTCAGGTGCTAGTCACTCTGATGAAAGGGAAACAAAGAGCACTGGGAGGAGGAGCTGATTTGTGGAGCAGGTGATCAAGGAAGGCTTCCTGGAGGAGGTGTGGTTAGTCTCAGGCTGAAAGTCTGATTATTCTGGGGGATTCTGAGCCCACCTGGCATCATCTTGGGCCTCACTGCTGTCTCCCTGGTCCGTACCAGCACCTGGTGACGTTCTGCCTGGGTGAGGACGATGGCGTGCACACCGTGGAGGATGCCTCCAGGAAGCTGGCCGTCATGGATAGCCAGGGCCGAGTCTGGGCACAGGAGATGCTGCTGCGAGTGTCTCCCGACCATGTCACGCTGCTCGACCCGGCCTCCAAGGTGCCAGGGGGCACGTGGGTGGGAGGAGTGTCTGGGGCAGGGACTTCGGGGGTCTGGGTGTGAATCTTGGCTCCTGCATGTCCTTCCTCTGGGAACTCTGGCGAGGGACCCCAGCCCCCTTCTTGAGCCTTAATAGCCTCATCTATTAAACAGGGGTGTTATCCCTAACTCCCTAACTGCGTGAGGTTGCCCTGACCTGCTGGCCCACACTCCCGTCGCCATTTAGTAGTACCATCATTTCGGGGCCTCAGTTTACCCTGCCATCCCACCCGGCAGGAGGAGCTGGAGTCATACCCGCTGGGCGCCATCGTGCGTTGTGATGCGGTGATGCCACCCGGCCGGAGCCGCTCGCTGCTGCTGCTCGTGTGCCAGGAACCCGAGCGCGCGCAGCCCGACGTGCACTTCTTCCAGGGCCTGCGCCTTGGGGTGAGCGGACGGCGTTCTGGTTGGCTCTGGGGGCGGAGCTGGAACTGGGCGGAGCCTGGAGCCGGGGCGGAAATGGGTGGGGTCTCTAGGTGAGGCGGGGCGTAGGGCTAAGGCGGGATCACAGCAAGGAAGGGCATGGGACCTGGAAAGGAAGTTCTGAAAGGGAGTGGGGTTTGAGGAGACTGGACCCAGGGTCAAGATAGCACATGAGGGTGGGATGAGGACATGAACAGAACATGGGCAAGTAGGGCCTGGGGGAGCAACCAGGACGAGGATGGGGGCGAGAAACCACCTGGACTGGGTCTCCATGGGCCGGGTCGTGGTTTGGGGCAGGGACAGGTGTAGGGCGAGGGGTGAGTCCAGAGTGTGGACGTGCGTGGGAACATAGGCGTGAACGATGGCCGCACGTGGGCTGGGACGGAGCAGAAAAATCGGCCAGGGGCGTGGCCCGGGTAGGAAGGGGGTGCGGCGTGGGGAGGCGTGGCCTGATGTGTGATTGGCAGGCGGAGCTGATCCGAGAGGACATCCAGGGGGCTCTGCACAATTACCGCTCCGGCCGCGGGGAGCGCAGGGCGGCGGCGCTCAGGTGAGAAGGAAGAAGTTGGCGGGGTCTCTGGGAAGCCGGTTTCCCCTCCCTGTGCCTCAGTCTACAACACCAGACTGGAACGGAGCAAGTTTTGCATGGAGTCAAGCACAACCTAGTCGAGTCTTGTCTGTACCTCCCAGACGAGATGACTCCCCAGAACTCTTACTTCTTTTCCCTGTTCCCTGTCCAGGCCCTCAGTTTCACTCTAGAGAGATGCTACCCCTCCCCATATCGGATTTCTCCCTACCTCGTTGAACTTGTTTACTCCCTTTGAGCCTCAATGTGTCTCGTTCTGCGCCCCGGATTTCCCCCTCCATGGACCCCTCAGTGGACCCAGCCTTGGTGTCCCCGTCGCCCTCTGCAGGGCCACGCAGGAGGAGTTGCAGCGCGACCGCTCGCCCGCCGCTGAGACCCCGCCCCTGCAGCGCCGCCCGTCCGTCCGCGCAGTGATCAGCACCGTGGAGCGGGGCGCAGGCCGCGGGCGACCCCAGGCGAAGCCCATTCCCGAGGCAGAGGAGACGCAGAGGCCTGGGCCCGCGGGGACCTCGAGCAGCGCTGACCCGGCCTCCCCGGACCTAGGTCCCCGGGGTCCTGACCTGGCGGCTCTGCAGGCGGAGCGGGAAGTGGTGAGCCGCGCGGGAAAGGGGCTGGGGGCGGGGCCAGACGACTGGAGGCGGGGCTAGGGCGTGGGGGGCGGGGCCAGCTGCGGGATAGGAGTTCTCCGTCAATCTGGTCAGACTTCGGCGTTATGGAGGCGGGGAAGGGGCGGGGCTTGGTTGTAGGGCGCGGCCAGGTGTTTGGGGCGGGGCCTGTCTGGGGACGTGTCTAGGTGCTCAGGTTCAGGGCTTCGACGGGGATGGTTTTGGAACTCGGGAGCCCTGAGCGTCCCCTCCTCTGTCCCCCAGGACATCCTGAACCACGTGTTCGACGACGTAGAGAGCTTCGTATCGAGGCTGCAGAAGTCGGCGGAGGCGGCCAGGGTGCTGGAGCACCGGGAACGCGGCCGCAGGACCCGGCGCCGAGCGGCTGGGGGTAAGGGCACCCCCGCGTGGGATCTGAACCCCCCTCCCGATCACTTCCAGATGCCCCCCCTCTCCCCAGGGTCTCCCCTCCCGCCACTTACCAGGGCTGACCTCACAGCCATCTTAACCGGGTGTCCACCTCTCTCTCTGCCTGCCTGGTGCTGGCCCCGCGTCCCCATCGCCGCGCCCGTCGGCCCCCGCAGAGGGCCTGCTGACGCTGCGGGCCAAGCCGCCCTCGGAGGCCGAGTACACAGACGTGCTGCAGAAGATCAAGTACGCCTTCAGCCTGCTGGTGAGGACGCGTCCGCCCCTGGGCCGGGGCGCGGGCACGGCGAAGCTGCCCCGTCCCCGCACCCAAGCCAACCATCTCCCTCCCCACGCCCCAGGCCCGGCTGCGCGGCAACATCGCCGACCCCTCCTCCCCGGAGCTGCTGCACTTCCTTTTCGGGCCTCTGCAGATGGTGAGACCCGCCCCAGGTCCTCGGGCCCCCCTGCGGCGGGAGGAATCGGTTCGACTTGCAGACGGTGTGACGGCACGGCCTGCCCCCTCCCGCTCCCCTGACAGATTGTGAACACGTCGGGGGGGCCCGAGTTCGCGAGCAGCGTGCGGCAGCCGCACCTGACGTCGGATGCCGTGGCGCTGCTGCGGGACAACGTCACTCCACGTGAAAACGAGCTCTGGACCTCGCTGGGGGACTCGTGGACCCGCCCCGGGTGAGGGGCGGGACTGGGAGGCGGGGGCGTGGTGATTGGAGGAGCTTAAGGGCTGGGAGATGAGTGGCATGATGATTGGAAAATGAGACTAGGAGGAAAGGGACAGGTTGGAGGCGTGGCTTCGTTGTGTTGGGGCGGGGCTTAGGACAGATGCCAAGATTCAATTGGCGGAAAGGCCAGAAATTAATATGAAGGAAAGATTTAAGACCAGCAGACCAATCAGATTGAAAGAAAAGGTGGGGCTTAAAGGAATAGAGGGGCTACGGGGCAAGAGCGGGGCTACGCGAAGGGGCGGGGCTTCTGGAAAGTTTGGTCTATAACTTTGGCGATGGGACAGAGTCTGTGCACTGGGGGCTGGGAGTTTCGTAGGGAAAGGGTCAGAACCTGAAACCGAGCTTAAGGAAAACCTGATTTGGAATCAGAGGTGAAATTTAGAGGCTAGATAAGGCAATTTTTTTTCCAGAGAGAGAGAGAGATGGATGGGCGTGGGGGGCGGGTCTCAATATGTTGCCCAGGCTGGTCTTGAACTCCTGGCCTCAAGCGATCCTTCCATCTTGGCCTCCCAAAATGCTGGGATTACAGGCGTGAGCCACTGCACCCGGCCTAGAAATATAAATTACTGTTGGGTTGGGCTTGGAGGTACCGGCAGGACTTGGTGAAAAGTGGCGGGGCTAGATACAGAGAGCTTTAGGGGAAAACTTAGTGAAGTTAATGACAGAGCTCAGCTGGGGGCTGTACCAGGATCCCTGAGCTCTTGGCCCTGTCCCTGGCTGCAGGCTGGAGCTGCCCCCGGAAGAGGGACCCCCATACAGACCCGAGTTCTTCAGCGGCTGGGAGCCGCCGGTTACTGACCCGCAGGGCCGCGCTTGGGAAGACCCAGTTGAGAAACAGCTACAGCACGAGCGGAGGCGCCGGCAGGTGAGGCTGAGGCTTTCAGGGGAGCAGCCAACTCCCCCAAGCGACACGGCAGGGCCGAGGCTGGGAAGTCCGGGGTGGGGGCGTGGCCGGTCCGCCTGGCCCCGCCTGACCCGACTCTCTTACTTCCTGCAGCAAAGCGCCCCCCAGGTCGCTGTCAATGGGTGAGTGTCCGCCCCAGGGCAGGGCAAGGGGGTCCAGGAGGGGTGCTTCCCGGGGGCTCCCGGTGTTGACTCCGCCCCCTTTTTTTCTGTGTTTTTCCTTCTGTCTTCCTGGCTCTTTTCAGGTGGGTGAGATGGTGAAGGGGCGGGCCGGGGCCGGGAGAGAGGGAGGAGCAGGGAGGGAGGGGGCGGGATCCAGACTTCTGGGGCCAAGGGAGGAGGGAATGGAGACCGGGGTTTCCGGGCCTAAGGGAGGAAAGGGGCTGGGAGTGGGTAAAGTCTGAGAGGTTGGATCTCTGGATCCCCAAAAGGCTGGAAGAAGGCAGTTTGGTTTCTCAGGGCCTGGGAAGCACCATGTCTGGGCTCCCTACGAGGACAGAGCCCTGGATATTGGAGGGGAGAGGCTGGGGAATTCGACCTTTGGGTTTTGAAGAAGAGCCCAAGTCTGGTGCTTGGGATCCTGGAGACCCAGAGGAGCAGGCTTGGGACTTCAAGGGCTTGGGGGCAAGTTTCTGGGAAAGTTAGGAAGTGGTAGTATCTCTGGGCCCCGGAGAGGGGTAAAGGCTGGGTGATTAACCTCTTGGTTTTCCAGACGCTCTAATGCAATTGTCTAAGTCACTGCTGGGTGTCGGACTGGGTTAAAAGGTTTAAGGGTTAAAAGGATAAGATTGAAGCTTGAGACCTGGACTCCTAGGTCCCTGGGGGAAAAAAGGACATTCCACGTCAGGTTCTACCAAGCAGTGGGGGTTCAGACTCTGGGTCCTGGGGGAGGAAATGAAGTAGATGGACCAGAACTCTAGGGTCCTTGAGCAAATAGAGGGCAGATTGGAGGGAAACAACATGGGAGGAGACGAAAACAAAGCAGTGAGGCTGGAGGAGACAAAGGGGGGTCTAGGTGAGGGCCTGGGCAGAGGGTCTCAGCAGGGACAGCGTGCTGGGAGCTGCCAGCCCCACACAGGGGGTGCCGCGGCCCTGAAGACCCCCCCTCCCCCCTGCACAGGTAGGCCTGATCCAGGCTGAGGTCCCTCTTATCGGGAGTCAGAGCTGAAATCCCACCCCTGCCCCCAGCTGCCTGATATCGCAACCCCCCTCCCTGTTCACAGCTTCAAGTCACTTTCTCTGAGCCTCAAGTTCTTTGCAGGGAAACTGGGAATGATGGTAATCCCTTCCTGGAACAGTGAGAAGTCTGTGGTGTTGTAGGAACTAGCAGTTCAAGGCTCAAGGCTGTGACCATGTTCAAGTTCAAGTCCAGCTGCCTGCAAAGGAGGGCAGCATTATTCAGACATGGACTGCCCTGGTCCCAGGCTGGCGATGCCACCTGTGACCTTTACATCCCTGTGCCTCAGCTTCCTCCTCTGTGAAAATGGAGAAGATAATAGGGTCTCTGGGGGAGGAAGAAACTGGGGGCGGGGAGAGGGGAGTCCAAATTCATGGTTCTACCAACGGTTGTCATGAAGCTCAAATCAACTAATATACATAACAGTGCCTAGCACATAGTAAGTGCTACAGAAGTGGTAGCTATTGTTTGTTTTTTGAGACAGGGTCTCACTCTTTCATCAGGCTGGAGTGCAGTGGTGAGATCTCAGCTCACTGCAGCCTCTGCCTGCCAGATTCAAGCGATTCTCCTGCCTCAGCCTCCAGAGTAGCTGGGACTACAGGCACGCGCCACCACACCCAGCTAATTTGTGTATTTTTCAGTACAGACAGGGTTTCACCATGTTGGCCAGGACGGTCTTGATTTCTTGACCTTGTGATCTGCCCTCCTCGGTCTCCCAGAGCGCTGGGATTACAGGCGTGAGCCACCGTGCCCGGCATAGCTATTGTTTTTATTATGCTCATGAGTTATGATATTTAAGCCCAGTGCCTATTAGATGCTCAATAAATGACAGCTGTTTCTAGCTGTGTGATGTAGGCAAGTGGTTTTATTTCTCTGAGCCTCATTCTCCTCTGTAAAATGGAATCGATGATGGGATAGTACCCACTGCATATGCCTACAGCACAATGCCAAACAACGGAGGGGGCAAAACATATTCAGGCTGTTATTCTCGTTTCAAATTTCTATTAACAGTATTAACCTGGCCCCTGCTGTGCCCCCTGCTTGGCTCTAACCCTAGCTCACACCAGCACCCTGCATCCCAGAGCAATGGGGCTGGCTGCCTCCTTATCTCCAACCCTCCTGCTTCTCCTCAGTCACCAAGACTTGGAGCCAGAATCTGAGCCTCAGCTGGAGTCAGAGACAGCAGGAAAATGGGTCCTGTGTAATTATGACTTCCAGGCCCGCAACAGCAGTGAGCTGTCGGTCAAGCAGCGGGACGTACTGGAGGTTAGAGGAGCGGGAGGCTGAGGGGCAGGAATTAGGCAGCCCTAGCTGCAGATGCAGGCTCTGACCCTTCTGCCTTTTACCGCACGCAGGTCCTGGATGACAGGCGCAAGTGGTGGAAGGTTCGGGACCCAGCGGGGCAGGAGGGATATGTGCCCTATAACATCCTGACACCCCACCCCGGACCCCGGTTGCACCACTGCCAAAGCTCTGCCCGCAGCCTGGTGAGCCGGCGCAGACGCTGGAGTCTTGAGGGAGGAGAGGCTGGGACCAGATACTGGGAACAAGGGGCGTGGGGATCAGCTGTCAAGAGTGCTGGTGCAGGTCGTGACTGGGGGTTCAGAAATGCATCTCCAGAAAGGGGAGAGGCTGGGACTCTGATTCCTCTCCCTAACCCAGGTGCTCTCCTCTGCTCCCTTTCAGAACAGCACTCCTCCTCCGCCACCAGCCCCAGCCCCAGCCCCACCTCCAGCTCTGGCTCGGCCCCGCTGGGACAGCTGCGATAGCCTCAACAGCTTGGACTCCAGCGAGAAGGGTGAGTGGTGGGGACGCCGGCTGTGGGGAGAGGTTCTTATCCTTGCTTTCCAGGCAGGGAAACGGGGGCTCAGAAAGAGCAAATGGACTCCTGCCCCATTCTGGGGAGGCTGGAGCACACCCCGCCCTCTGGCCCCAGGACCCCGCGCCCTGAGCCCCCACTCCCTCCCTCCGGGTTTCCCACCTGCAGAGAAATTCTCCCAGATGCTCATTGTCAACGAGGAACTGCAGGCGCGCCTGGCCCAGGGCCGCTCGGGCCCGAGCCGCGCAGTCCCAGGGCCCCGCGCTCCGGAACCGCAGCTCAGCCCGCAATCGGACGCCTCCGAGGTCCGAGCCTGGCTGCAGGCCAAGGGCTTTAGCTCCGGGTGAGTGGGGCGGGGGCCGGCTCGGCGCGGGTTGATACGCAGGCTGGGAGCGGAGCGTTCCGATCGGCCGGGAGTCGGGGGGCAGCAGTCGTGGAGACCACAGGGAGCCGGGATTAGCCCGAAGTGAAGGTCTGTCTGGTAGCAACATCCAGTGGCAGGCTGTGATTGCCATGTGTTTTCAGACTCCGACTGGATTCCTTAGGGAAATCCCGCACCCTTCGAAAGCATATGACCACGCCCCCTGGGTGGCACATTGTGATTGGTGGGTGGAGTTCAGGGGGTGTGGGCCCTGCCCCCCCCCGGAGCTGTTCTGATTGGATCATCGCCGGGTGGGCGTGACATGAGTGACGGGGGCTGGGGCATCCGGCGACCTGCCTGACTGCGCCCCGGCTGCCCTCGCTCAGGACCGTGGACGCGCTGGGTGTGCTGACTGGGGCGCAGCTTTTCTCGCTGCAGAAGGAGGAGCTGCGGGCGGTGAGCCCCGAGGAGGGGGCGCGTGTGTACAGCCAGGTCACCGTGCAGCGCGCCCTGCTGGAGGTGAGCCGGGCCGCTGGTCCCTGGGTCTGGGTGGGGTTGGGACGCCGAGAGCGAGGGCTCGGACACCAGGACAAAGCGATTTCCACCCTGCTCTCTAGGACAAAGAGAAAGTGTCAGAGCTGGAGGCAGTGATGGAGAAGCAAAAGAAGAAGGTGGAAGGCGGGATGGAAATGGAGGTCATTTGACCTGCCCGGCGCCCTTCGCAAAGAGTGACCAGGCCCCGTGTGAGAACGGACTCTTCAGACTCCTCAATAGCAGAAGTCGGTCTTCTGAAGGATGGCCAATCTGCTCCGGCCCCGGTCTTCCCCCATCCCCGTGGACAGACTGAATAATCCTTGCTGCAGTCCCTCCGGGGCAGATCTGGACTGGCTGTGAGTGGGGAGGGCGTGGAGACAGTCTACGGAAAGCGCTAGCAGACCCCCAAGAGGGTGCAGTAGAGCCCTGAGCATTGTAATATGCCGCCCAGCCTATAAACAGCCTCCTTACTTGGCAGATGGTGTGTCAACTGCTGTCCTCTACCCGGCTACCAGGGGGCCCAGAAACCTTCCCCTTGCCCCAGTCACAGCCTCAAGGAACCTGGAAGATGTTCCACCTTCTTTGGTTTCTCTCTCCGAACCCTCCTTTCCATCCCCCGGGTCCCAAACCAGGCTCCCTCCTGACCTCCTAGCCAGCCAAGTCCAGCCTGCCCCATCTTCGGGTTTCCCTGGCTCGCGGCTCCCTTGGTTCCCTGAGAACCAAGGTTCTCACTTCATTCCTTCCTGCATCCTGGCCCTGCCCTTCTCCAAACTCTCCCAAGCCCCTTCAACCTCTGCGGTTTGCACTTGCTATCTCTGCTGGCCGAAACAGCCATTCCCTGCCTGGCAAACTCCTCCTATTCAGCTAGCTCACTCACTGTGGCGAAGCCTGCCCTCATCCCCGAAGCCAGTTCCCCACCTCCTGCCATGGCCCTGCCAGGTGGAACTGGCAGCCTCCCCAGCATGCCACAGCTTTCTGGTCACTTTTTGTCCTGGGAGATGGCAGCCAACTGAAAACGTCCTCCTCCCTCAAGAACTAGCTCCCTTCCCCTCTGGCGAGCCCTGTAACATTCTTTTCCCCATTGTCCAGGTGGCTGGTAAGGTCTGCTTTTCTCTGGATCCCCCCCGTTTCCAGACTGGACACTCTCTGCCTTTGGGAAGAATGGTCCTTTCTCTTTCTTCCGTGGCTCCGCTTCCCCAGATTACTGCGGGCCTATGGGCCTCAAGCCTGTCCCCGAGTTGTTCCAACCTGGGGCACCAGGTGGCGCCCTCCAAGATGGGAAAGGATCAGAGAGATCCTCCTGGGGCAGGCAGGAGTTCTCAGTCCCCACTTTGCCAACTCCTGCCTGGTTCCTTCCGGTTCCTTCCTTCCTCTTTGGATCTCCAAGAGTCCTTCCCCTATCTGCCCCGTCCCTAGATCCTACTCACACACTTCCCTTGGCTCCCTATGGCCCACCAGACAAAACCCAGGCCCCAGCTTGGCAGTCACAGGCTGCCACTTGGCTCACCGGCTTCGACCCCACAGGGCTCAGCTCCCTCCTCCTGCTGCCAGGCTTGGTTCATGTGGTCGCTTCTGCCCAGAATACTCTCAGCCCCTCTACCACTTGCCCGGGGCCCCACCACTCATTCTTAACAGGGGAATCGGAAAGGTAGGCAATTCCCCCAAACCTCCTTGCTCCATTTTCCCCTCCCCAATAAGCCCCCGGGGCTCACACCACCCAGGCTGCAAACTGAAAGGTCTGCAGGAACCCGACAAGAGACCAAGTGAGCCAGCTGGGCCTCAGCCCTACTCCCGTCACAGGCCAGCTTGTTTGAACATCCTGGCAGCTGCATCTTCCAATATTCTCAGAACCTGACCGTCTCTCACCATCTCTACTCCCGTCACCCCGGCCAGAGCCACCATCTCTCTTGCCGGGATTTTACCAGTAGCCTCTTAGCTGGTCTCCCCAGTCCTCACCACCAACCCCCAGTCTGTTCTCCACACAACAGCCAGAGGGACCTGTTAAAACCTAAGTCAGGCCATGGCCATGCTCCAAAAGCCACCCAGGGCTCTCACCTCAAAGCTCAAGCCCTTCCCAGGGCCAAGTCCCCACACAGCCGCCGTGACCTCTCGAACCTCATTCCCTGCTTTCTCCAGCTCCTCAGCTTCCTGCAACACATCAGGTGCATTCCTACCCCAGGGCCTCCACACACACAGCTCTCATCATCCAGAGCACCCTTCCGTCAATACGCAGCTCCCTCTCCACCACCTTCAAGCCTCTACCTGTGCCAGCTTTTCCGTGAGGCCTGCCTAGACCACTCTATTCAAAACACATGTGCACACACACGCACCCGCCTTCCCAACCGTTCTTTTCTCCAGCGCTGCCGCCTTGAAATACATTTATTTTAACATTGGATGCTCCCCTCCTAAAAGTATTGGATCTTTGTTTTGTTCAGTAATTATCAGTCACACTGTACTTACTAAGTCCTGTTCTTCCTGGTGTTACAGTAATTACCGAATGAATGAATGAATGCCTCATCTCAGAAGATGGCTCCTACTCAGCTCTAGTCAACTGTGGCTATGCAGGACTGAAGAGTTCATATTGTCACAGATTCCTGTTTTTTCAAAAGAAGTCAAAATTCCTTTTTTCCCCCCTTTTTGAGATGGAGTCTCACTCTGTTGCCCAGGCTGAAGTGCAGTGACTCGATCTCGGCTCACTGCAACCTCTGCCTCCCAGGTTCAAGCGATTCTCCTGCCTCAGCCTCCCAAGCAGAGTAGATGGGACTACAGGCGCCTGCCACCACGCCTGGCTAATTTTTGCATTTTTACTAGAGATGGGGTTTCACCATGTTGGCCAGGCTGGTCTTGAACTCCTGACCTCAAATGATCTGCCTGCCTCAGCCTCCCAAAGTGTTGGGATCACAGGCATGAACCACCGCACCCAGCCGGAATTCCAGATTTTTATACACAGATTACTCCAAATGTTAAATGTTGGCAATTGACTAAATCTGTTCCAAAGACACTGATGGCAAAACCCAAGCTCCGCAGCTCCATATCCCTGGCCCGAGGTCTTGCCCGCTGATCCTTCCTGCCCCCATCAACTTTCCCTCAGCCCCCTGCCTGTGATCACGCCGGCTCCGTCTTGGAGCCTTCACTCCCGCTGGGGGCTCATCCTGAAGCTCCTCTGCCACACAGGTGAGCAAGCACCAGCCCACCCCTTGGCACCCCACCCAGCGGCCCAGTGGTTTGGTCACAGACATGCACAGCCCCCCAGCACAGACGCAGGAAACGGCGCCCTCCCTCTGGCTGGGAACACAGACCTTGAGTGGCAACTTCACGACTTTTATTTGTGGTGCCTGTGCTTTATCTCGAAAATACCTTCTCCCCCTGCCCCAGACAGTGGGCGGGGAGGGGGCAGCAAAAAATAGAAGACGTCCCTCCCTATTGCACATGGACCCTATATACAGGCCCACCTGGCTGAGGCCGGCAGGACTCTCGGCACAGTCTTGGATCCCTGCTCAGGAGGGGGGGTGACGGGGTGGCATCACACGTGAGAAGGGGACCTCCAGGCGGCCACTCTGGTCCTGGCTACTGGTCCTTGCACTTCTTGGTCCTCAGTTCCTTCCTAGTCCCGGCTCTGGCCCTGGTCCCCTCTGGCAACGTCCCCCTACTTGGCTCGGCCTCCCACCTCCATCCTGGCCTCGGGTGGCCCCCTTGGCTCCTGGGGACTCTGCTCCCCTCCCAGTTCGGAGGTCCCAGGGGGGCTATGGCTTCTCTGAGACTTCCCCCGGAGCCCTGTCACTCGTGTTCACACGGGGGAAGGGGTGCGTGTGGCAGAAGCAGCTGTATAAATACGGGTGCGAGAAAGTCCCTCCAGGTCACTTGGAGAGTTTGCTGATAACGCGGATCAACGCTGCATTCTCATCCTTGAGGCGCTGGTTGTCAGCGCGGAGGTCAGACAGGGCCTGGGGGACGGCAAAGGGTCAGCTGGGCAGCCCTGGTGGGTTGCGCCCCCGCCCACCCTCGGCCCTCTGCCCACAGCCCCCACAGCCCCCACCTTCAGCTCTTCCTCCAGCTCTGCAGCCTTGCGTTCCAGGGCCCTGCGCTCCTGGAATGAACAGGGAAAGTTCAGAAACCGAGTGAGGCTGAGGACAGGGGAAGGCCGGGGGCCAGCTGGGAAGGGCAATGTGGCTCTCTTGGTCCAAACTTAGTGATGTGAGGCTGGGAACGCCTCTGGCTCCCGTCCCTACTGTCCCTACTCACGAATCTCTCCAGCTCCAGAAGGGCTGGCCTCTCAGCGAAGCGCTCTTGCCTCTGGTGAGGACACGGAAAGCACAGGGGTCAGCAGGGGAAGCCAGCACTGCCCTCAGGAGGGGTCCTACGTTCCTGCTGGGGACCCGCCCGCCCACTAGGCAGCCCACCAGCCCCGCCCCCATGGGCCAGGCCCCGCCCCCAGCAAGCCCACAGCCCCACCCCCATTTGCTCAGACCCCGCCTCCGAGATCTCGGCCAGGCCCTCAGGTGGAGCGAAGCCCCATCGGCCCCTCCAGGCCAGGCTCTGCCTCCCAACAGTCTGAGCCCCACCCAGGCGGCCCTGCCAGTTCTGGTGACCCTGGCCTCGGCGCCTTTACCTGCGTGGCCCGCTCCAGCTCCACCTTGAGCTGCGCCAGCCGCAGCGTGGTCTCGGTCAGAGCCTCGCGAAGCCGCTCGTTCTCCCTGCGCAGCTCTGCATACAGCTGGGGGTCGGGTGGAGGAGGGTCAGGCGGAGGAGGGTCAGGTGGAGGGCAGGGGCGACGCTGGGGGCAGGGAAGCCAGGAGGTGGGCACCCGGCAGGCGGAGCCCCAAAGGAGGGGTGGGATCACACCTTCCTAAAGCCTCCGTCCTGCTCCTCCGACTCTGGCTCAGGTTCTGGGTGGAGGTCCCGCTGTGACCGCTGCCTGCGGGCCGAGGGGCCGCCCTCCAGGGTGCTGGGGCGGGGGCGGAACGCGCGTCAGGGGCCGGCCCGGGCCGCACGCAGGCCCCACCTCTCCCACCCCGCCCCTACCTGGACTCCGGGCTGCGGTCAGCCGGCTCCGCCTCCTCCCCCTGTGGGCAGGTAGAGGGGGGTTCAATGGGCATGGGAGGGGCTTTAGTGGGTATGGGAGGGGCTTTGCCCGCCCTCCGGCCCACCCTCTGCACCAGCCCGGCCCCACCTGAGCCCCCCTCACCTCCGCAGGCCCCCTCCACTCCTTTCCGACCTTGCGGGGCTCCCTGGCCGCCTGCGGTCCTGGACCCTGCCCGTCAGGCGCCTCTGCTGGGGGAGGGGCAGGAATCAGTCCAGGCACCTCCAGAGACGCCTCTGGGGGCCCGGGTCCCCGGGTCAAGCCCCCAGGAAAGCAGGAAGACTCGGAGAGACGATGATTCCCGGGGAATGACCTCCCCCAGAGAGCAGACCTCACCTCTCTGGGCCGGGCTGTCGGAGTTGTCCACTCCAGGGACGCGGGGCCTCCGGGAAGGGTC